TTTATTCACCTTTATTCACCTTTATTCACCTTTATTCACCTTTATTCACCTTTATTCACCTTTATTCACCTTTATTCACCTTTATTCACCTTTATTCACCTTTTTTATTACCGTTTAGAGAGTTAACGGGTACACAGATGAGAATGAGACAAAACTATACTAGGCATGTCAGTGAAATGATAACTTCTGGGAATGTCAGTGAAATACTGAATTTTATGGATGAGATTGTAGGTTTTAGTGGCCTGGCACATGCTGCTTCTTTTACTAGTAACAATTTAATGACTTTGTCCTGATGCAGCTTCCTTTAAATACAAAGTAATCTGCATTCCTGATCATCGAGCTCTTTTGTTTCAGTGTTTTTTAAAGAAGGGCAGTGTGTTTATCTTGTTAGTTAAAAGCTAAGTGGAGTGTTCTTGATAACTGCCATCCAGTCTGTTCTTGTTGCATGTTGGACATGAGAAAAACACCTAGCATATGGCTGGAAAAAGTAGCAGTAGTCCCAGAAAATATTTTGAGTTGTAACAAGAAACAATGAGAGTGATTTGGGATTTGGAGAACTCCTGTCATTGTCAAAAGTATCGTATTACACAAATAAACTACTGAACTTAATGACCAATAATAATAGACTGAAAAAAGATACTGTCAGTATATAGTTTTCCACATTCAGATTGAAAATTACAGGAAAACAAAATTATACAGGATATGTGTCTCTTATTAACTCCCTGTACTTTTCTGCATGCTAATATTATCTTGATACAATTACCACATGATTAATAAAAACTAAAACAAAACATCAAGTCTTCAATTAATTAGGTTTTATTTGGGATTTTTACAACATCAGTTTGAAAATAAATTGAACTTAGCTTTAGGTTACTTCTTTTTCAGTACGGAAAAAGACACAATTACATTTTAAATCTCTGTACATGTAGTTCCAAAACATTATTTTACCTTTATTTTCTCTCTAATGGAAACAATTTTGAGTAAAATTACTGTTGCTTACTAGAGAGGGCAGTTAGCACTTGGGGAATTTGAAATATTAGTGACTCAGTAATCTGGAAGCATGAGGAAGGCAGGCTACTTAGCAGTTTGCATCTCTAGCCTCTGAAGTGATTCACTCTTGATGGAAAAGGAAAATAATAATAATAACAATAATGATAATAATAATAGAAGGACTGTTTTTCCAAAGTAGACTGCTTTCTATAGGGCAGTCGTGTTAAGCTTGGGAAGAGTGTCACATTTAAATTAGGGCAGTAGCAGTGGGAGATCCCCAGCCAAAGGCATGTATAGGACAGGAGTGTATTAGGACAGGAGTGGTTATTGTATTCTTTCAAGGTTTTGTTTTCTGCCAGCTTCACTAAATACACTTTTTTCCTTCTTCCATTTGACATTTTCCTTTGCACTCATAAAATCTCAGCATACCTAATTTACCAGCATGTTTTTTTACCTTCGTCTTTGAATTGGCTTAGTCATCATGGTGTAAAAAACTGGGCCACAAATCATCCTTCTCTGATTCTTATAGCGTAGTTCCTTTAAGATTTGTCCTTTGGCAGTGTTCTCTGAAATCTAATAAAATATGTGTTTTCACAGAAGCTGTACTCTCAAGGCACCTACTGGGTATCTCTTCCAGTTTTTTTGGTGTTGAGCTTCTCAGGGCAAGCAGCCTTCTGAGGAGTCACCTGGACATCTACTGTCATGAACCAACAGGTGTATACCTGCCTTTTGACCTATTTCTCTCTAAAAAATTAAAGTGCACTTGGTTAAGGAGTTCAAAAGAGATTGAGAAACAAACAGATGCAAGCATTATCAGGCTGGTTCCCTAAGAAAGCTATTTTGGGTAAGATACAGTAGGGAAAAACTACAATCTGTGTTACAGTATTTGAAAGCAAGAGACTGAAAGCTCTAAAATTTTGTAAGAAATGGCCACAAGTCAAAGAGAGAAAAAATACCTGGAGGACAAACTGTATGTTGATGGAAACCTACCAAGAAGCAACTTAATAGAGTTCAGAAAATAAAATGCTCCTGTAAAGCTAAGAGCCAGGAGAGGTCCATAGTCTACTGTTAAGTCTGAAGTGAGACCCAGTCTAGGGGGAGAATACGGTTCTGGAACACAGAGCCAGACAGGCTCACAGGCAGACAAGTGCCTCAGCTATCTGTGCCTCAGCTATCTGCAATTACATGCAAATGTAGTTGAAATAGTGCTGTGGTGGACTGAAAAGGAAGTGGTGGAGTGACTGGACAAGCTGGAGGGCAGCTAAATACTACAAGTTTTCTTGCATTAGGAATTCCATCAGAGAAGTTCACAGTATGCTTGAACTCAAGGATGATTCCAGTGGTAGTTCATGTGTTTTTAGTTCTTGTTTGTTCAGATGGTGATCTCTGAATTAGGATGTGTACTTTTCTGTATTTTCAGTTGTCATGCCTATTAACAGCATGATGTTTTAATTTTTGTGGAATAGTGGGGTGGAGGGGAGGGATGTTTTTTGCATTTGCTGCTGGCTTCATAGGCATTGGTGGGAACTTCTGAGAAGAATGACAGCTCCGTTAAATTGTTGGATAGCATGGACGCACAGTGAAAAGTAGTTGTGTTCATAACCAATGAGAAAATACTGCGTGGAGGCGGATGACCTTCACGTCACGAGTACTGGAAACTTCAGGCACTATGTAAACCTTGTGGAATTTTAATGAAGTAGACAGACTTAACCAGAGATTGATTTTTTTGTTTCACGTTATGTGTATGAATGGTTATCATGACACGAATAACTAGGAGGATGAAGTGTCTCTGTGCTGAGCTAGCAGAATTAAAATAGGCTGCAGTACAGAGCAAATGTCTGATTAGCTAAGTACAGACCTGATAGGAGGGGGATGCAATGCAGAGAGCAGGCTCTGTGTGGCAGCTGCTTACTGACTGGTACAGATTCCATTAGCTGTGAAGACTGTGTTTATACATCTTCCCATGCTTTTGTAGCCTGTAAGTGCTAAGGCAGGAGGAATGTAAAATAGGCGATGCCTTATTTTCTTCATATTTCTCTTTTCTGATATTGATTTTGCATGGATGTTGGAATTTTTGTATTTTAGTGCTGCTAAAGTATAATTTAAGTAGTAATTCTTCCAGGGATTAGGGAACCATTAAAAATTCGCCTTCATAAACGCAATATAAAGATGAATACTTTCATGGTGTTTAAGGCTTCAGTCTTCAGTGAGTCGCTCCTAATGCTAGGTGCAAAGCAATACTGAAGTATGGATTGTAAATCACTCATCTGGAGGTGGGTTTTGTTTTTGTTTTGTTTTGGTTTTCTTTGCACTGGCGTAGAGCGAAGACAGTCCTAGTCCCAAGAGACAACGCCTTTCCCATTCAGTCTTTGACTACACAGCAGCATCACCAGCCCCATCACCACCAATGCGACCATGGGAGATGACATCAAATAGGCAACCTCCTTTGGCTCGACCCAACCAACACCACTTCTCAGGGGAACGATGCAACACACCCGCACGAAACAGGAGGAGGTAAGCAAGCTGTGTAGCTCGGGAAACAAGTTCTTGTTCTTTCTGATTTTAGCTCAAAGAAGGTGTGTTTTGGGTAGCACTGGCTAGATTACACATGGTAAACATGTTAACATTTCCTTTGAGCTGTAAAATAATGCAGTTGTGACTAAAAAGTTACTGAAAGTAATTCAGGCTTGTGTATCATCTTGTAATTTACGTGAAAAGTCAGCTTGAGGAAAAGTGTTCCAAACATGTTTCATTATGAACCTAATTCTCTATTACTCTGCACTGAGGCAAAAAGCACGTAGAAAAGTGCAACAAAAAAATCTTTCCAGGGTACTTTTAAAGGTGTTAAGAATTACTCATGTAATACCATCATTTTCATTACAGTCACAATTATTTTTGTACTTAAAACCAATCAAAATAAAGGTGAGATATACCAGCTGGGAGAGATGAGTGTCAAATATTTGTTGAGCTGAGTGATTCACATGTAATAGTAATTAGATTTTTCATACTGGTTTTACCTTGTGGCTCATTAACTTCTCAAAGCAGAAATTTTGGAAAAAGTTCCAGTGGTCATGAAAGAGAGAGATTGGAACTGGGGCCTGGATGGATGATACTCTAGCAAAACATAAATCCACAGATTTTTTTGCTATTCTATTTAAACAAATTGTCCAAACTAGAAGCTTTCATTGCCTCACATTCTGCCTCAAAAATACTAAGTCATCTTATGCAAGTTAAAACACACTGTCTCTGCTTGCTTCTAAGAAATGTTTTCTCTTGGTTTGTACTTGAAAAAAAAAGTGTCTATCTTTTTCCATTAATATGAAATTTAGGCTTAAGATATATTTAGCTAGTTTTGTGCAGATTCTCTAAATCAAATTTGTCAACAATGATTAGCCAGTAATTTTGAAGCAAGAGAGTTTAGAGCATGCTAGTTTTGTATCTTTGCTTCAACTTGATGAATTTGAAAGCTTTTATTCAATGGTATGTAAAATATCCAGCTCTCAATGCAGCTTGTCAGACTTAAGAAAGAGGTTAAATTGTGAACTTAAAAGTGATGTTGTGAAGACAGAAAATCAGACCTTTCATATAGTTTGGTACAAGGATGCTTTTTTAGGGGCATTTAGCCCACAAAATTATTTTGACCTCAAACGGTTTGAACTGAGATGCCTAAAATACGTGCATTCAGTCATTTTTGTTTGGTGTCCAGTCAGCTTACACAAATTTCTTTGCAGTGTTCATTAACACCTGCGGAGTTAAACAGTGTGCATAACAAGCTAAATGTTAGATAGCAGAATCTAGACAGTTTGGATATACTGTGGGATGGAGGAAAAGAATGGAAATGTGTAAGGGGTGAATGTGCATGGGACAAGTGTCTTTACATTCAGATGCAGTCAAGTGCTACCGACGTAGTAAGCCTGTGGCTTTTGCAAGGAAGTCGTTTGCAAACAGGGAGACACCTCATTGCAAAGCCATCTTCAGTCTGACAGGAGCTGTTAGGTCGGCTGCAGTTTTATGTGCGAAAACATTACTCTTTCTAGGGCAGCTCGCCTACTCCTGGGTAATAACACAAGTTTTTGCTCTAATGAGAGACATTTGAATGTGTCAATACTTTGTTTCCCTGCACTTGAGTCAAGGCATTTTTTAGGCTTGGGTGCAATGTTGCATTTGAGCTAGCTCCAGGTCAGTTCCAGAATACATGGTACCTAATTTCTTCGTCTAGAACCAGGATTTTTAGGGAGAACAATACCATACATGTTTCTTGTTTTGCAGGAGTATTTCCGAGTCTTAAAAGTGCTCTGAAGGCATTCCAGAACTATTAGCCATTCTCATTGATCAAAATCTTGATTCCTTAAGGTCATTATGAGTGCATCTGTTATTAATGCTTTAGGTGAGGTTATGCCTATGCTTTTGAAGCAAATTTTTTTATTTCCCTGCTTTGTTTTCTCATTATGGATTGATTGAGTTCATCAGGTTTCCAGGTTAAAATAAGATGAAAGGTGCACTCCAGCTGAAAATAGTCATTGAGCTCAAGGAAACAGGCTAGAGCCAGTGCAGGCAAAACCTTTGTCTGCTATGGACATCAGTGCCCCAATGTAATCAGCATTAAATCTTTCATTCTACCAGTTGATTCCTGTTGGTCAGGACGATCTGTCTTGACTTTTTGTATTACCTAGATGTTTTTTTTCATTACCTGCCTTACTATTTTATACCATACCTCTTGGTATCAAGGATTTTGTACTGTGCCTAACACAAGAATGCCCTAATTTGTTGTGTTTTTTTATTCTGATGCATTGTAAGCAAATAAATACTGCATTAATAAAGATAACCTTCTGGTGTGAATTTGCAGAAAGATTTTGCCTAGATACTTTATATAATAGCACAGATAAATTATGAATGTAGAAGCATGATGCATGCCTATGTGAAACAGAGAAGGCCATTCCAACTTATCTTTATCAGCCATTGTGGAATGGGGGGATCTGTACCATTGCTGTGCCTTACCTTTCATCTGTGCTTCCTTTCCTCCTTGTCTTGAATGTAATTCTGAACTAAAGGGATTCAAGAATGTCTTACTGCAAAGAAATCACCCTTGTTAGAAATACTAAGATCTGCACACACTAACTCTGCAGTTTTGGATATCTTTTGATGGCTGTTCTTACCTGAGGGTAGGAATTCCTGCAATTTTTTCACCACTTTCATCCTGTCTCTTTGTTTTAACCTGGCATTTACTATGTTTATACTGTGCATGTAGTAACAGAGGATTTTTTTGTGGCTGTTTTTAAAGACTTCAAGCATAAATACATTGCTGAAGTTTAATAATAGTTTAGACCCATGTCTTGACAATTTTTTTGAATTAATTTTCAATAATTCAGAAACTGATAAAGCTCTGAATTTTGCTGACTGAAAGGATGGTACGTTTTTAATTCCGTACAGGAAAAAAAATCCAGCTTTGCATTTTACCATAGAATGATACTTCTTCATTCATTTAAAAAGACATTCCAGAAGTTTTGCCGGCCTTTATTGGCTTTTTCGTAATTCTGGGTTTATAGAAAAGTAAAACCAGGCCTTTTAACCAAGACAGAGGCAAGACTAGTTTTATGAGAACTACCTTGTCTAAGAAGCTACTTTGTCCAAGTGCTGGTGGCAGTTAAGAGAATTTCTGTTCTTCTGAAGTGCTGGTGCTGTCTTTTGTAACTTTTGTCTGTTTTTGGAGCTTTTCCAAAGAAAAATCCTCACATAGGCATTTTTGTGTTAAAATATTCAGACCATTTCTGTTTCATAGCATAAAACAGCAAATTTAAAATGACCTGGTTACTCCAAACAGTAGAACATCTTCTGCATTACTAGTTCTGTGATTAGAAGCTATATATTCCAGTTTTACCTAAGAAGAATGTAGCAGTTGTATCATATTAGTAATAAAGCAATAGAGAGTGCAGCAAAAACTTCAAGAAAGAAAACTGGATTTAAGACAAAACACATTAGTAAGAACTGAAGTTTAGGTTCTCGGTGTTAGAAGAAAACACAGCTTGAATGTTCTGCCTGGTAGTTTATAAAAATAAAGGTGGCTATGCATTTTTAAATTATTTTGTTTTTTCTTTGCTGTGTTACAGCCTGGCCTTATGCCTTCTGTCTGACCTGTTGAGAATTACTATTTGTTTCAGTTCTAAGAATGGCAGTAATGTCATGAAATCTCTGTGAGGTCGGGTAGAAGAATAGTGGCTTGAGACATTGTGTCATATACTCACAGTAGCACCGGGTCGCTGGTGATGTGGGCTCACTTTCCCTGAGTATGTCTGTTTCGTGCAGCACAAAAGTTGGACTCAACCTGAGAAGTATCTGGATTCGCCAACAATTTGCAGGTTTACTTGCTTTTTATTTGGTAATAGAAGTTCTGTTCCATGCAGTGTTAGAGAGGACATGTTCTAATAATGATCACAGATCTTTTTTGTCTCTTCTCTGCAGTTTGGGTCCTTTATCGTGTTTCATAAATGGGAAACCATTTCACCCCACGTAGCTTTAATTTTCTGTTGCTTCTGGGATCTGTAACTTTAGTGTGCTGTGGAGATTGGAAGGCATATGCTGAAAGTACTGCAAGATCATTTTGTGTTTTCAGTGCTTTCCCCTTCCAAATAAATGAGAAGTGACTTGTTCAAAACCTCTCAAAGTGAGTTTAGCACATTTGTGTTCATAATTTTCTGAGTGCTGAACCTGAGCCAATGGTCTCTGATGTCTAGAAGTTTTGGCTGAAGGTAGTTGAAGCTCTGGTCAGAACATACACACAATTATATAACAATACATAATCAAATCCTACATCTGTAGGTCAGTTGATCAAATGAGGTATATGCTCTGGTGTAAATCTGTCTACAGAAGTTCTCCACTCTGAAAAAGAAACAATGCCACAATCATAATTTCCTGGGATCTTCTGGAGAGAATTTAGAATGCACTCAGTTATGTAGTGAACATGTGAGAGCTGAAATTAATTTATTTCTTCAAAGAAATCTACTGCTTTGTCTGCTGTCGCTAAGCGAACAGTCGTTCTGTGGTGTGGTTGAAACAAAGACCCTGGGGAAATCTGTGATCATTTAATGAAGGATTTTTGCCTAGATAGAATAAAGGCATAGGAATATCATGAAGACTGCTGTCTTGACTTTTGAGCACTACTGTGGCAATCCAAGTGTCATTTTTTTATCAAGGTAATATTTACATAGGAGTTCTTCTCTTGGTTTCCCAAACAGAATTAAGCTATGCTCTGTTAAGCATTTCCATACTGAAAAAAGTGCCATTTGTAAGGATTCTAGCAGTTCTGTCAGTGAAAATTTTTATTCCAATCGAATAAACTTGTTCTAGTACAATTTCACAGTTTAAAAAATTCCTTGATACTTGATTCTCTTGAGGTTTTAGTTTTGAAGAAGCATTTGTCATTTACGTAACCTCTAATTTTTTTAATGCATTTCCAGTCCTCCTGTTCGACGTCAGAGAACAAGAAGAGATCGTTTGTCTAGACATAATTCTATTAGCCAGGATGAAAACTATCACCATCTCTCCTATGGACAGCAGCAAGCAATAGAAGAGCCTCGAGCCTTTCGCCCACCGAATGTATCTCCTCGTATGTTGCACCCAGCTGCTCACCCACCACAGCAGAATGCAGTGATGGTTGACATTCATGATCAGGTAAAAATTTTAGACCACAAACAGGAGGCTGTTCAAGATGTGGTGTTTGATTTTGGGGGTTTTTCTCACCATTTTCATGTTTCCTCACCAAATAATTCACCTCATCTCATAGTTGACAATGAAAGTCACAGAACACTAAAGTCTATTTGACTTCATACAGAATGGTGATTTTTGTTGAGCATTACATGTATGAAGCATTGCAGCAGGCAATGAAAAATATCCAAGAAGTTCACACTTTTAATAAAAGACGACTGATACTTAAAAATTCAATACTTAAATATACTTTAAAAATACTTAGCGATTTGTCAATGCATGAATTGGCATATTTCTCTATGTCTCTGTCTCAAACCTTTGAAATAGAATTATTTTCTTTTGTAACTAGTTTCTCACGATAAAAATGTGTTATGATACTTATTAATTATGTATTCTATTTCACATGAAATACCTCAGCTTAGGAGTTATTAAATAGTTAAAATGCATTATTTAGAGGCAGAATTCACAATGCATATAGTTGGTTGTCTACATAGCAGCAGAACGCATGGTAGTTTTGTTGCATAACTGAATTAACCCTCCAGGCCTAATCAACTCCTTAAATTATGTGAAAAAATTACGTACATAGTTGGTCCAGAGAGTAAATAATTCATCTTTGTGACAGCACTTTGTAGAGAATTCTGTAACTGAGGACCTGTAAAAGAAGTTTTGGGCCTCTCACTACAAGGAGGACATAGCGTTGGTGGAACATGTCCTTGAAGAGCAATGGAACTGGTGAAGGGCCTGTAGCACAAATTGTATGAGGAGTGGCTGAGGGATCTGGATGTGTTTAGTCTGGAGAAAAGGAGGCTCTGGGACAGCTTTACCAATCTGTAAAACTACGTGAAAGGAGGTTGTAACCTGGTGGGCATTGGTTTCCCAAGTAACAAGTGACAGGACTAGAAGAAATTGCACCAAACTGCACAAGGATAGTTCAGACTGGATATTAGGAAAAATTTCTGAAAGAATTGTCACGCATTGAAACTGGCTGCCCACAGAAGTGGTGGAGTCACCATGCCTGGAGGTATTTAAAAGACATGTAGGTTGGCAATTACAGGAGTGATTTAGGGGTAAGAGTGCTGGATTAATGGTTGGACTTGATGAACTTAGGGGTCTTTTCCCACCTAAATGATTCTGTGATCCTGTTGAGGTAACCTTTGTTGTTGTCTAAATTAACAGGCCACAGCACAAGTACACTAGTTGCTACATAGCCATGAATAGACCTGGCATGCATTCTGATGTTCACATGGGAAGCTGCGTGTGCACAGAACGCAGCTGTAACATCTGTGCTCTAAGCTGGTTTGCACTCAGTGCGTTGCATAGCACTGGCGTGTCACTGTTCAGAGCAGTTCTCAGCAGGGGGAAGTATTTGCATTTGGGACCAAATGAAAGGATGGAAGCCAATACCATTCTAGCAATCTCACAAACGCACATTTTTGACAGTTCTGCTGGAGATCAGGTAATGCCCTTGCTTTATGTTGTAAGCTCATGACAAGTCTGACTGAACAGTTTTCCATCCCACTACCAAACACCATATGTCATCAGATGTCAATATTTCCAGACTGACTGAGGTCTTTCATGGTGCTACTTTCCAATTCAGGGGCAAGAATATTTTGAGCAGTCATTTTTTATTATTACTGTGGTCAATAAACATTCCAGGATCATATATAGCATTGCACTTATGCCCAGCTTTTGTACAGTGCCAGAACTGGTTCACGTTCAGTGTCTTTCCCAAGACTGGTCTCCGTCTAGTATTGATATTTGAGATTGTAACCTGTATTCAGTGATCTGTCTTCTATTTTAGTGTCTTTTTCTGTCTGTACACTACCAGTTTGGTAGTTCAGCTCTTTGACTCATTCTTACTTTACTGAGGAACTGTTCTTGTTCTATTTTAAATAAGGTTCTATTTTGGCTGATCATGATGGAACAGAGAGCTTTGAAATAATTAGTTTCAATTAATCTGTGCTGCTTGACTCTTAATCCTTTTTAGTTGTATTAGAGCATGAAACTGTTAAAAGATTGCTCAGTGTTAAAAAATCAAACAAAATAAAACTAACAATAAATTTTTAAACAAACAACCAAAAATCCCACATGGTTTCTAGGTCCAGAATACCTTTGGATCTTGATTTGATGATTAAATTTTAGGGATTGCCACTAATTAGAAAATTGTGTTACATGGTTTCCTAATATGAATCTGAATAGTTAGGGTCTTCTGCCTATTAGTCATGTTAACTTTTCCTTCTCAGCTTTCTAGCTAGCTGTTCTGTTACTTAAATTAGAAATTTAGATTAAATTCTGACCTGAAAGTGAATCACGAGAGCGGTCTCTTCAGAAGAAGGAAAATCTGGAAAATAGTTTTGTTGTTTAAAGATACAAGTATCTTGAGTTAATATTGAACCAGTCCCTTCAGAAATGAAAAAATTCTTGAACTGCTTGTAGAGCTTTTATGTGGGAGTTACTACCTTCTTATTTCATAAGAATTTAACCTGGGGGAGAGAAGGGAGAGTAGACAGGCTTAGTAGTCTGATGTGCTTCTGAGTGACTATGTTGCCACTGAAGTTTTAACATGTTAAGCTGAGAGATCCCTCTTGCCCAGAAATTCTGATCAATAAATTCCATTGATAAAAGCATTTTAGCGAACAGAAATTACCACCATGTGCCGCCTTTTACACTTTCTTTATGTATATATTATTTTTCTGATCTGTAAGTAAAAGCTTGTTATCTTACTATGCTGTACAACAGTGTTAAGAATTTGCAGTTATTAAATCCATTTTCTTTTCCTTTTGCTGCAGATCCATCAGGGCACAGTTCCTGTTTCATATACAGTGACAACTGTGGCTCCACATGGGATACCACTTTGCACAGGCCAGCACATTCCAGCCTGCAGCACGCAGCAGGTCCCAGGGTGCTCAGTGGTTTTCAGTGGCCAGCACCTTCCAGTTTGCAGTGTGCCTCCCCCAGTAAGTGGGTCTCTCTAACTGCAGCAGCTTCAATCTGTTTTTCTAGTATAAATCTATAATGTAATACACAGTACTATATGCAGCATCTAGTGAACACTTCTGATATTGGTTTAATGTTGGTCTCTGCCAGCAGTGTGTAACTTTGCTTTTCCTGTAGTGCATTCTGTGACATGAATAAGCCAATGTGGCACTGAAACAAACCCTTGATATGATCTATCTATTTCTTTAGGCTGCCCATCGAAGAATAAAGGTAATTTGCATTTATCAGCCTGGTGCTGTTTGTCCTCCTGAGAGCCAACAAGGTCTGCAGCATGCTGCTGGCTAGTCTGGAGTATTTGTGAGAATCAGTTCCCCTTACTTGTCAGATTTTTGAAAATCTGTTACATAAGCTGGTGTGTATCCCTGAGGCAGCATGAGAGATGGCTGTTTTCTGTTTATTGGTGTTAGTGGAACAAAGCAATCTCAGAATAAGTACCCAGAAACTGGAACAATACTTACATAGTAAATTCAGCAAGGAATTGTTGTTCCTAAGGAACAACAGAGAAAAACCTGAAATTGTATTGGGGCTTAGGAAGATCCATCCAACAGTTACTAATAATGTTACCCTATGCTTTGAATAGATATATTATCTGTGCAATTCATAAAATGTTTTGTAATTCGACAATGTGATTGTCCTTTTAATAGAAACAGGAGTAAAGCTCCTATAAAAAGGAAAGGTTTTTGTTTTGAATGTGCAACAGTTAATCAAGTGTGTTGAAAGAATAGATCCAGTACAAGTGAATATAAACAGTTAAGTTTCTGTAGCATGAGCAGGCAGACTTCATGCTTTCTTCTGTTAAAGCACAAAATTGAGGAATAATTTTAAGTTAAGAGGGAACTCTGGAGGTTGTCTGGTGGTCACCTGCTGTAGTACCAACTTCCAATTATGGAGATTTTGCAATGCCTCTAAGCTTCTGCTGCAATGTTTAACTGTCCTTGGGATGAAGAATTTCCTCTGTATGTCTGCTTGAGTTTTCTTTGTTGCATCTTGGTCCCATTGGTCCTTGTGCTCTTTCACTTTGTTTCTTGAGGAGGACTTGGATTCTTCCTATCCACTCTCAGGAAGTAGTTAGACACAGAGTAAGGTTTTTGCTTAGTTTTTTTAAAGGAAAGCAAGTCTAGTGCTGCCACCGCGTTTATTCAGTTTTCTCCAAGTCAGTGTTCATCATGACTTTCGCCAAAACCTGGTCATCGTGTTGTCATTGTCTCTGTTTGGCACTGGGACACCCAACACTGGGCCCAGGACTTAAGATTAATGTCACAGTTTCTGAATGGAGGGGCAGAATCACTTTACTGGTTTTACCAGTTGCTTTCTTAGCCATTCTGCCCAGCATACCATAGACCTTTTTGACTAAGTACACTATGGGTATTGTGTACATGTCCACCACAACCGCAGGGTTTTTTCTGCAAATCTCACTGCAACCAGTTAGTCTCAGAGTGCCAGACTTCACATTTGTCTTTGAATTTTAAATAGTTCCTGTTGGCCAATTTCTCCAGACTATAAGAATGCATCTCAAAGGTAGCCCATGCCCTCCCTTGAGCATATCACCTTGCTCACCAGCTTCATCTGTGAACTTCCCAGTTTCCTTTTGTTATTTTAACAATATTTGTCTCTCTCACTGCATATGTAACTATGAAGTAAACAAATGCCGTTTATTAAAGACCCTCATCAGTATTAAAAGTTCTTCGAAGGGCAAAATGGCATCCAGAGGGACATGGACAAGCTTGAGAAATGGGCCCACATGAAATCTCATGTGGTTTAACAAGACCAGACACAAAATGCTGCACCTGGGTTGTGCCAACACAGGCTGGGGATGAACAGATGGAGAGCAGCCCTGTGAGAAGACTTAGGGGTGCTGGTGGGTGAGAGGTGGACATGACCCAGCCATGGGCACTCCCAGCCCAGAAAGCCAAACGTGTCCCGGGCTGCATCCAAAGCAGCGTGGGCAGCAGGGGAGGGAGGGGATTCTGCCCCTCTGCTCTGCTCTGGTGAGACCCCAGCTGGAACCCTGCATCCAGCTCTGGGGTCCCAGCACAGGAAGGACATGGAACTGCTGGAGTGAGTCCAGAGGAGGGACACCAAGATGATCAGAGGGAGAGAGCACCTCTCTTAAAAAAGAAAGGCTGAGAGAATTTGGTTTATTCAGCCTGAAAAAAAGAAGGCTTTGGGATACGCTAATTCCAGTACTTTGAAGGAGCCTGCAAGAATGGTGGACAGAGATCTTTTACAAAGGCATGTAGTGACAGAACAAGATGGGGCTTCAAACTGAAAAGCAGTAGGTTTAAATTAGAAATCAGGAAAAAAAATCTGCACTGTTAAGGTGCTGAGGCACTGGAACAGGTTGCCCGGGAAAGTGATGTATGCCACATCCCTGAAAGTGTTCCAGGCCAGGTTGGATGAAGCTTGGAGCAGCCTGGTCTAGTGAAAGATGTCCCTAGCCATGGCAGGGGGTTTGGAACAAAATTATTTTTTAAGGTGCCTTCCAACACAGGTCATTCTAGGATATGTCCAAACTGAAGAACTTTTTTAAAAGCTTGAATGAATAAACAGGTATTTTTCATTTCTTACTGCTTGGAAGTTAGTGTGGCCTCATTTGCTCTAACTTTAAAATGTAACATGGGCATAGCACAAATAAAACATTTCCAAACATATATAGGAGCTATAGTAATCTTCACCACACAGAATCCTATTTCAGTGTTTACCAAAGAATCTCATGTTTTGAAGAAGACCGTGAGATGTTCTACCTGCAAATTTACCTTCAGCTGTTTCAGAGGACAATTTTTAATTTAGTAAAATGCAATAGAAATGTATTATAACCATAGAAACACTTGTTTATGTTGTTTTTTGGAAAAATTATATAGTAACTAAGGGAAAAGAATAGTCAGCATTTAAATTAAAAATAGTAGTTGGATCAAGTTAATCTACTAATGTTTTCGTGCATTTGGAGGTTTATGTTTGGACATGATCATAGCAAATTGAGATGGTAGTTTCACCTCCACTACTGAAATCTAATTCCTTTTACCATTTTATGCTATTATAGTCAGTATGTAAATGTATGCTAATAAGAACTAATAGAAAAGGTGAGAGATCAAAACTAGATAATCGTTCTTTTCAAGATTTGATAATTAATATCTTAATTGAATGGTCTCGTAATTGTTAAAAGTGTAAAAGAAATGCCTGACAGTCTCATATTGGATCAAAGCACAACAAAAAAGAGAATGCCGGTTCCATTTTCTTCTATATGTAAAGGTGGAAGTAAAACTGAACAATGCCACAAAGCACATTCCTTTTACCCTGCAGTGCCTTCATCATTTTATTGTTCAAAGATTAGTGCCCAAAGTTGCTTTTGTGTCAGGAATTTAAAGGAGGAGAGAAAAAGAACTATTTCCTGTACTATCTGTCTCTAGGGAGCTGCTTTTAGAGCATAGGACTCACTCAGAAGTGCAAAACGGAGCAGACTGTATGAATTATTCATAGTATATGAGGCAACAGAGGTCTTTAGGAAGTCTGACAGCTGAATCCCTCAGCTGCATCTAGAGCTTAAAGTGATTGCAAGACCATTGCTTTGGTGTGTTATTTTGAGGATGAAATGTGGGAAAAATAAAATAACTAAGATAACTGTATTTGCTCATCACTTAGGAGCCTGTCTAATCCTGGAGTATTGAAAATCCAGACTCCTGGTGCCCTCATGAGCACCTAACAGATGTCACACGCTGCTGCTTCCTAGAGCCTGTTCTGTAGTAATCACTGTTCCTTAGGTATTTGAATGAATTATTATTTACGTGTATTTTGGAGGCTTTTTCAACAAGGCTAAAGAACTGTTCTGTTACAATTATATCTTTCTATAATAAATACATAGAATATGGAACATTATGTAGGGAATGTTTGTGCTACAAAAAAGTATTGTTTTCATTTTATTTCAGATGCTTCAGGCGTGCTCAGTTCAGCACCTACCTGTACCATATGCAGCATTTCCACCCCTCATTTCTAGTGACCCATTCCTTTTGCATCCTCCTCATATCTCTACACACCACCCTCCTCACTTACCTCCTCCCGGACAATTTGTTCCTTTCCAAGCACAGCAGTCACGGTCGGTAAGTAATGCTTCTTACCCCACTCTCAGCAGAACTGGTGGGCTGGATGGGCACATAGTACTGATAACCTGATTGAGGAAACAAGGATTTTCTTTCAAATTGTAATCGCTTGGCATGAAGATGAAAAAATACTTCTGGAGTTCAGTGTTTCACTAAAGTTTTCATTGGCTGTACTGTTTCTCCATAGGCTTTTACTTCTCTCAGAAAGATGGGTATTTCCTTTACCATCAGGTATTTCTTTCCCAGGAAGCAGAATAGAATCCAGAGGAGGTTGTGTGAGCATAGTAGGCATCTTAGAGAAAACCTTAGCAGAGAAAAAAGCACAAAGTGCTTTTATTAGATGCTTCTTTTGTATTCTTGATTCTATTAATTTTTAAATGACAAGTCCTTTTCCTTGGACATTTTCTTTACACTTACGAAAGTTACTGATGATGTTGTTTAAGCAGGTTTGGCTTAGTGAAACGAACTATGCAAACATTGGAAAATGTGACCCTGAAAAAAGGGGAGGTTTACAGTTCTGGCCTACCACTCTTTCTGTGTGGTTATCTGAGTACTTGTCTACTTGTTTGCTCCGCTGAGTAGAAGACGCAGATATTTCAGTAACACAGAAATAGAATATAGTTTTATTGTTGCAAACGCTGCTGAGACTTCTTCATGCCATGTCTCCGGTGTGAATAGGATTGTAATCACTTCATTACAGTGGTGGGAGAACAGTTTCCCTCATTCTAACAAAGTGGGTTTTTGTGATAGAAATCTTTACGAGACTTAGCTTTAGAAAATGCATGGACTCAGGTTTTAGCTTGAGTTGCTTACTTAGGTTTTTAGCTAGGTTTGCCTGTCAGCTTTCACCTCTGCCAAAAAGTGGCTTAAGGATATCTTACTTGTTCTGTTAACAGGAAAACAGAATATTCCTTTGGTTCCACAAGGTGGCTTTCTTAGCTGAATTTCTTGAAATAGTGGAATTCAGTGTCAATAACAAAAAGGTTTATTTATGAACCTGTGAGAATTCTTCGTTGTTTCTGGGGCACTTTTGGATCTGACTGATGTAATAGATTTGACTACAAATAGTCGTAGACTTTGTTGTCAAATAGATTTGACAACAAAACTAATCTTGGAATCTTAATGCTCCTGAAATCTCAGGACTGCTTGCATGACCCTCCTAGGAAAGCATCTGCTTGCTTTCTGGATATCATTATCAGTTTCATCTACTGGAAGCACCATGATTCCCCTACACTTTTCAGTTTTTCTGGCACAATTTCAGTTCTTGTCTATGGTTGTTTATTTTTTTCTCTCGCATAGTTATACAGTGAGAGCAGCCTGGCAAGGAGAACAAATATTTGTCCTGAAAAATGCAAGATACAGGAAATTACAGCCACTCCTATATTTCCTAAATCGCATAAATTCCTGGTCTATAAGCATGGCTAGCTGGAAAAGGTGAATTTATATCAAATGTGTAGTGTTGTCTTTGCTTTTTTGGGTAGTGTTAATGACCTAGGAATTGTTCACAGAGTTACTATAAAATTGATCATGGCAGCACAGAATGTACAGCTGGGATTGCAGTTTTTTATTGGGGAAAAAATTTCGTCTCTATTATTGCAACAAAGGCTATCTCTGTTTTTCTTGTAGCCACTTCAAAGGATAGAAAATGACGTAGAATTGCTTGGAGAACATCTTCCTGTAGGAGGTTTTACATACCCTCCCTCAGCCCATCCGCCAACGTTGCCTCCCTCAGCTCCTCTTCAATTCTTAGCCCATGATCCATTACACCAGGAGGTGTCATTTGGGGTAGTAAGTATTGTTTTCTGTACTACATTCTCTTTCGTACTGCATTAACTTTCTTGATCTTTATTCTATAGTACGTTTTGTTGAAAAGTCACACTTTTGCAATCATATTCCATTATTGGAATAGCTGCATACTGTGTTGTTTTCTTTAAGCTTGTGTTAATTGAGTTAAGGGTAGTTTGATGACATCAGCAAATTATTTCCATTAATGTTATCTACAGAGTGCAGCAGCATTTACTTAGAAAACTTTCCATGTTGTCACATAGGGCATTTGCAGGAATGACATATTGCAGACATGAATATATCTATATGAATATACAATTGACATATTGCAGTAATGAGTACAGTTTAGAAAAACTGTAGTCACTTTTAGTTAATTCTTCATCATATGCTGAGTTTCCACAGCTCAGGAAAGCCAGAATGCTTTAAAAACAGTTCTTCTATTTAAGCAGTTGTAGAGTGCTTCCATAATTTAGACCATACCATATATTATAAAGATAGCCATGTTACAAAGCTTGATTTAAGTCTGCTTTCAGGGGATTGACTGCAGCAGCACAAAATAAAATTAGAAGTGGTGCAGGATAAAGTCTGTGTTGAATTTAGTTGATTCGTGTGCTTTTATGGTGTGTCCAGTGGTGCTACTTCTAGGATCTTTGTCTTGTATTTCAATCTGCAATTATACTAGTCCTGAAATGGTTCAGGGTTTTGTTGTTGTTGTTGTTGTTGTGGTGGTGGTTGTTCTGTGTGGGTCACTTTTTTTAAAAAAAAACAAAACACCCCCTGTCCTGTCTGTGTGATGCTGGGGGAAATAGCTGGACCCCAAGTATAGGTGCTGGAATTTTTTATTGTTTGACATGTGCATCGTCAGTGGTTTTAGGGGCATATTGTTATTAAATTTACAATAAGAATTAAATTTTAGGCCGTGCAGCTGTGGAATATACAGATATCTTGTCTTTAATTATTCTCCTTGAAATCACAGAACCTAGTCAAATGCTTGTGCAGTTTCTGTAAAGGTTCAAGTAAATGCCCACCATTTCAAAAAGTGATCAACTTACTTCTAAACTAAAGGTGTACAGATTTTCAATGAAGTTTTCAGGCACTGTGAGATACTTTGGAGTCCAGGACACTTGTAAACTTCCGTAAGCTGCTTGTATTTTATTTAGTATGCTTCTTAGATGAATTAGTCTAATCATACATGTTTTGCTTGGAGTCAGACTTCCTTCATTTTTAGGTTTGATTGTTAAAGTAGTTAGGGAACATAATACCATTGTCTGCAGATTGTAGCATTTATCCTCTCTGATGCTTCGGCTCTGTGTTTTTTATTGCTAAGGAGTAGAATGGAGACATTACAAGTAACCATGTGACCTTTTATAAAGTAATACTGAATCTTTATAAAGCTTTTTTTCAATTAACATTAGAATGGAATTGCTGCATTCCTGATTCTTTTTCATTCAGTGAACACAACAGCGTCTAATTATGTTATTGGATTGCAAAATTCACAAAGCAATAAAATTAATATTTGATACGTCTAGTTTGAAAGTTCAACCAAAAGGAGCCTGGCTCTTTTGTGTTGTGCTTATATTCGTATGTTAATTTTATGTATGACCATGGCTACCTAATTATAATGTTCCCATTGTAAAATTAGGGGATTTTAGGTTAGTTATTAGCAGTGTTGGGCACTTGTGCTTTCAAATTTCAAATATGTGAGAAGAAAAACATGTTAGAAAAGGCTTAGAGCGTTTTTTGTTTAAAAAAAAGAATCTTAAGGCCCTCAAATATGAATTCAGTAGGGATACATGAATTTCACTTGTAGAAAATACGAAAGCGTTTCAGTAAGAGATGACAAAAAGTGCCTGATCTATCGTGGAACGAATGCACTGAATCTTTGGGCTTGAGTGTCTATGTGTGGTCCAGCTGCAGAAATTGTACTGATTAAACCTTCCACATACACCTGAAAAGCTTAAAGCATTTAAGCCTAAATGTAAATATATACCACTGCTTAAGAGTTAGCGATTTTTTAAAGAGATGGTTTTTTTAATTCTCGTTTTTAGAGCGTTTTTAAGGGCTTCTTTACTCAACTACTTATGCACAGGCCTGTATAATAGCACCTGAGCCTTTTATATTTACAAGAGGGTCAGCAATTCATGTCCTGTTTCCCAAACTGTACTGACTGTAGACTAAACACACAAGAACTTGTAAGGATTTCTGTTATATATTGCCTCTTTTTCACATGAATTGGTATGACTGTTTATTGTAGATGGGAATAGTAATTTCAAATTGAGACTGAGATTATTTTGGATTTTAGCAGAGGCAGGATTTTTTAAATAATGCATTAATCAAAGTGGATTTCGTTATTGAGCGTAGAGATTAAGAATAGAAAATGTTGTCTCACAGACTGGATAAGTTTGGAAGGGAGGTCATCTGGTCAAGCAGGCCCACCTAAAACTGAGTGTCCAGGACTATGTCCTGCCAGCTTTTGAGTATCTCCAGGAAGCAAAGCGCCACCATCTCCCTAGGCAACCTGTGCCAGTGCTCAGTCACCGTCAGAATAAAGAGGTATTTCCTCATGTTCAGATGGAGCCTCCTGTGTTTCAGTCTGTGCTCAATGTCTCTGGTCCTGCCACTGGGCACCACTGAAAAGAGCCTGGCTCTGTCTTCTTTGCACCCTCCCTTCAGGTATTTATATACATTTGTAGGATCCCCAAGCCTTCTCTTCTCCAGGCTGAACAGGCTCAGCTGTCTCAGCCTTTTCGCACACATGAGATGCTCCAGTCCCATCTTAGTGACCCTTTGTTGGACTCTCTCCAGTATGTCCATGTCTGTCTTGTGCTGGGGAGCCCAGAACAGGACACAAGTTCCAGTTTCATAAGTTTCAGTTGAAGCTTATTTTCTTCTTTCTTGCAGCCTTACCCACCTTTTATGCCTCGAAGACTCACAGGGCGCAGCAGATACCGATCCCAGCAGCCAATACCACCACACCCTTACCATCCCAGCCTATTACCTTATGTGCTGTAAGTGAAAAGTACATTTGCTTCCATGTAGGCTATTAAGAAGTCAGCAAGCATCTTGGCACTTTTTATGACTGGACTGCCAGAAACCAGATATATTTCACCTGTCTCAGAAGAAAACTTCCATTTCTGTGTACACTTTCCAGTCTATAACCTACGCCATAATAACCTACACCACTGAGCAAGGAAAAATACAAGTGAACAGTTTTTGTCCAGTGTAGTTTTGTAGGTATTTTGAGATACAGTAGCCTCTTGTTTCTGAACTCTTGATAAAATCTTCAACAGATTTTTAAATCATAGTTCTGTGATACTCTTACAGAGGCATAGTTACCCTGTAGGATCAAGTTGTAGTCTTCACTTACAGAAAAAATCTATTTGGTTTGGTTCTTAATTATAAAACACAAGAATGGGAACTTCTGTGCTGTGTTACTCTTTATTGGCTAAAGTGCTACTCTGTAACAGCTGTTACACTTCTTTTCTTCCTCGCTGTTTCTGGAAAATATGTGGGACAATTAAAATTTATGAATTACCTGTAGACTCTCTGGGAGAGTTTGGGTCTATCACATGAGATGTGTTAGTCTTCTGTGTTCTGTATTGGAAGTAAGAATTAAATATTTGGAAAACAAAGATTAAGCTTCTGGTGGCAGAGGTGACATTGACAAGGAAATAATCAAGCACTGACACCAGATCTGTATATTCTCTGCACAATGTCAGAGGTGGCATGAAAATGGCACCAGAAATCTGATTCAGCAAAGCTGTTCAACTTTTCATCTTGCAGTCTGAGAGTAATGTCGTAGCTTCTTGCCTATTCATTGAGGACATGATGTGGCACAGTAATTCCTCATTCTACTATATTAGTGCTTTGAATTTGTGATTTCTATGTGGATGAAGTTTTGACCCATTGCACTACCTTGGGGGGTAAAAAACTTACTGAGCATACAACCAGAAACACATCCCTCTGCTCTCTCGGTCTAAAAGGAATCTGTTTTTATGAACATCACAGTACATGAGAAAGTGAATTTGTGCTTGCCTTCAGGATAGAAGTTTGTCCAGTAGCAAATCCTATTTATCTTCACTGTGTATTTTAGGCTTGCAGAAATTACAAGACTTCTGTGTTGGAGATCTAAATGAACTTAGCATTCCTCTTTGAGGGTCTTTTATCCACTTAAAGAAATAAATTTATTTTAAACCAGAATGTCATTTTTTAATCAGTTTTAGGTCTCCATAGTCTGTGATAATTAAGAGATTAGTTTTTGTAATAAAGCTGATCTTGGCTAAAAGTACCAAGTGAAATGCACATGCACTTAAAAAGTCAGCACTCCCAATATCAGAAAGTAGCAGAAAAAACATTTTCCTGTGACTCTTTCACTTCAGATGTCTGTTCTTGACTTCGAATATAACATTTTTGCCAGTTCTGAGAACATGTTGATTTGAGAGGCATCAGAAAGGTTATTTTACCTATGCCGGATGTTTCTGTGCTTTCCTTCAGCAAGATGCTGAACCTTGTCCTTGTTTGCTCTTATGGTAGATCAATGCTCCCAGTGCCACCAGCAGTTGGACCAGCTTTCAGCTTTGAGTTGGATGTGGAAGATGGAGAGGTAGAAAACTATGAGGTTGGTGTGTGAACTACATCTACATTTAAAGAACAGATATTAGCTCAAGCAATAGATAAAATTTTATTGTATTTTGCTTTTAATCGTGTTTTTGCCTTTCACATAAATGTAGTGACTGTGAAGACAGAATCCAGAAATGGCCTTTTCAAATTTTGTTTGTAATACTGGATATTAGAAGTGTTTAGCTTTCTTTCTTGTCTATTGCTCTTTCCCAGAATCACCTTTCCAGGCTAGTAATCATTAAATTGTTCAACTTTTATGTTCTCCATGCTATTCTTCTCCTTTCAAAACTTAATTGATTTTAAATACCAAACAGGAATGAAGTACTTTCAAAAGAAAAGGGTAAGTTACTGGTTTTATGAGTGTAACTTTTAGAATAGTTTTAATGTCATAGGATTAATTAATCTAAATGTAATGTTTTTAAAATTGCCTTACTGGCTTTTCTTCTTGCCCTCTGGAGGCGATAATAATTCATATCTAAAGATGCAGAGGCCTCTTAAATATCCTACATAATTATGGGGCTGTTCCAATTGTTTTTTCTTTGCTGGTTCTGAAGTAAATGGATTCCATTTGATTTCTCTTGAGTTAGTCATCATTAACCCTGTTTTTTGCATCCCTTTGCCCGTGCTCCCATTAAGATCTCTGTGTATTTGCACGTCTTCAATTTAACAATGAGCACTTCTGTAATAACTTCTGTGGTGGTTTAGAAGAAGCAATGTCTTCTGAGAATTTGGGCCCTAGGTTCAGTAGTGTAAAGAAATCGACACCATTTGCAGCTTTCATAGGATCTTTTCCGTGCACTGATTCTCTGTCACGCTGACATTGTTTCCTAGGCCCCTCATGAAGGAGTTTGAGTTAAATACATGACAGATTGCATATTATATACATGAAAGCATTTTAGTTGGAATCGTTGTCTTACAGAAAATTGACATAAAAATTAGCAGCCAAAAAAGGGCTTGAAGTTTGATGATGTGTATTTGTTTTCCAGATTGAGGATAAAAATCTCCATATTTTAATTCAATTAGCCCAAGACATCTAGTGGGAATCGTAAACTGTCCCATTAAATTCATGGTTTCTCTCACAAGACCAAATTCACATATTCTTATGAAATAAATTAGTTGACAATTTTTTTCTGGTTACCAACACTATTAATTAAGGGTGAGGCGATCTCTCAGAAGGTAATTACTGAGCTGTGCATGTGGACATAGGACTAAATGGAAATTGGGTCCTTGGGAAGTGGGTTTTGAAATCCCAGAGATGATGTCTTACATAATTACAAAGATGGTTAAGTTCTAAAAGACTTTCCAAGGAGATTGTATTTTATGGGAGAACTAAAGTTCTAAACATTTTTTGATAGAAGGGTGTTTTTTGCTAGCAGCTGGGGTAGTGAGAGATGATAGTAGTCCCCAACACTAATGGAGCCAGAGCCTGTTTGATTAGTGAATTTTTAAATGTCTAGTTTCCATGTTTTGCAGGCACTGCTGAATTTGGCAGAACGTCTGGGAGAAGCCAAACCACGGGGATTAACAAAAGCAGACATTGAGCAGCTTCCATCCTACAGGTTCAATCCAAACAATCACCAGTCAGAGCAGACATTGTAAGTATATTGGTCTCTTTCAAAGATCCATAATTTAGGTGGCTTGATTTTAATATCTTTGACGTGCAGTCACAGCTAGATCAGAACAAGAATACTTGCTTTATGAAGTGAAAGCACAGTAAATAGAAAAAAACCCACATAACACCCGTAAAACCCGACAGAGTCAATTCTCAGTTTCCATTGTCCGATGTTGATCACTGTAGCTACTGAAGGAGTAAAATAGCTACTGTGTTGCAATCATGCCTGTAAGGTTTTGTATGGAATTGCAATTTGTTGTTCTTACATAGCAAATACATTTGAACTTCATTGTCTTTTTTAGATGTGTGGTGTGCATGTGTGATTTTGAATCAAGGCAGCTACTTAGAGTCTTACCCTGTAATCATGAGTTCCATGCCAAGTGTGTTGACAAATGGCTGAAGGTAAGAAAAGTAATCCTATCTTACATGAAATTGATTATGTAGTTTTTTAGGAGAGGGTGGGGATATTTTGCTGTTGCACTTCATTTCATCTTGTTTCATGTTTCTGATATTTAGAAATGCCAGCAGAATGGAAGCACTGCCTAGGTATTATATTATTCTAATAATTGATGAAGATAGTTTCTTCATATATGGTACAAGGAAAAATGAATATGAATGCAATTGCTTTCACTGACAGCTCTTACTATGTTTTCCATTTGCTTAAAACATTAACTGTGCATTTGAGTAATACATGACATTAAAGAAGACTTGAAAAAAGTAAATAATATAGGAAGTATGATACAGAGTTTGATAATGATAGTGGCTTCAACTGTTTTACACATCTTGTCTGGCAAGAGTGATTACCTACACGTTTCCTTACCCACTTTGCTGTTAGTTTTGGTTTCTGGGGCAAATGAAGTGGGTTATGCATGTACATTTATTAACACATGGGTAAAAATTATTGACACATGGGTAAAAATTATTTACCCATGTGTAAAATCATTGTGGTGTGGACAGTGAGTATCCTGGGATAGTAATCTCTCTACTTTATGGAAAAAAAAAAAAAGAAAAGAAAAAGAAAATGTCATTTGACATTGACATGGCCTGTGAGATAGTGGATGTTAAAGGTTTATTATGTGGACTTTTTTAAGGACAGCTCTTTTCAGGCTATTAATGCAAAAAACCAAAAAAACCTCTGATTCATAGAACATCTGATCTGCAGATTGCTGGAAGTTAGAGGAAAGTATCATGCATGTTTGTCGTAATGCTTTTTTGATACCTGACATTGTACTCGGGAGTCAGACAAGCATGTTGAGTTAATCTTTTTTGGGACTCAGTATGTTACTTTTAAAGTTAAGAGTTAGTCCTTTCAGTTGCTAATGAACTGGCAATATCATTTGGAACTGCAAAGTAAAAAAAGTAGATTTAGTTTAGTCTGTTTTCATAATCATAGTGTACTATTCTAGCAGTGAAATAGTTTTGCTGATGTTCCTGTCCTATCTTAGAAACTGCATTTTCTAATAGGTCTTCACATGTAGTATTTTCTAAAGGTTGTCTTTAGAATGAGGTGCAAGATAATGCAATCAAAATGTAGAGGGGTGCAGTTAAACCTAGTAAAACTTGCGTTGACATTGTTATTCCAGACCTGAGTGCAAAATAAGATAGACAAGGTTAAACCATCCTAGTGTAGGATCACTAAGACAATACTTCTACGCCTTGTGGGTTCAGTTACATTGGTACAAAGATGGTATATGAAAATAAAGACTATTTTGTTTTGAAAGCTGTAACACATTACCTCTAACACCAGTCTAATTTAGTTACAGCCTCTGTCTAAACTTGGTTACAGTTAAGAAGCTAACATCTGGAAGTGATAACTGGAAAATATTTTTGTGCTTTAGTTTTGCTTCTGTCCTTTCCTTTATGAATTTGAGAGCTCTTTTAATGTATCTTAATTGTATAATTATGTCCGCATCCACCTAATTCACATCATCCGGCCAGCATCATGTTCATAAATTCTACAAGAGAAAGTTAAAATTGTAGCTTTCAGTACTTGTAATGTTATTCCACAGGGTAGAAAAAGAAAAAATTATCGGTTAGTCGCTATTTTTTATTGATTTAATCTCATTTCTTTGAGGAGTGTATTTGTTATCTTGGACTATTTGTAGAAGTGTGGAGTCAAATTGATTCTTTTTAAAGTTCCATCATATGTTACTTTAGTGACAGATGTAAGTAAAAGGTTAGTGATTGAATCTGAGTACTTTAAAAGTATTCTTCTTGAGTTACCTGTTGGTGATGAAAGAGAAGTAAAAAAAACTATCTAAAGAAGTTGTGTGGCTTGTATGCATGGAATATTTGACAGTACTATCTTTTGAGGTGGTGAGCAAGTAAGAGGAAGTATTCTATACCGGTTCATTAGGTTGCCCACTTTAGCTAAAATACTTCCGTGCTTAAGCAAACTTAAAGACTTAAGGAGAGAAGATGTAATGCAGTGGAAGAAACAACGGAATTAAAAAGGGAGAGGTTATCCTTTTACTTTTTGTAGTATTCCCAGTTCTCATGTTTCACAGTATTTGGCTCCTTCTTACCCTATATCCTCTAGTCGAGTATGAACACGTGAGAAATGTGTACAAGTCATAATTCCAAAGGAGAGCTTGACACCATGACCTGTCTCCACCTTGTGGGTTTAGAACAACCTGAAAAGGGCAACCTGTTTTTATATTTAATGTACTAGGAAATGCTAAGTAGGAAATGCTGTATTATGTATAAGAAAAGACAAACTGTAACTTTATTTCAACTTATTTGTGATGGACTAACACCAAAGTAGTGCAATGGTTTTTAGAGGATTCTAATAGCCCAATAGTTTCATTATCTAAATGCAGTTCACTTTAACTATAAATTTCTATAAAACAAAAAAAAAACATGCAGCATTCTGTAGTTACAGCACAAACTTAAGTCTGCCTGGAGGAGTGGCAAGGTAGAAGGTTAGTATTACTATATTATGTCCCCCACACTCCTCTTTTGGCATCAAAGAGTCATATTAAATGTCAAAGGGGGAAATTAATTTCATGAAAGACAAAAGAATGCAACTAAATTTAAAGCAGATGTTCATGTAGGATCTTGGAAAGTTACTTTAAAAGCAGTGGTGTGGTGTCTATGAGCATTCATTTTATCCTGATGACAGTAGATCTATTTCTGCAATTCCTGTCAGGAGATTATTCCTACTGAATGTTGTTCTGTAGTGCAAGTGGTTACTTCACTACCAGTCTAAGTGAATAGTTCTTGATTCATTATTCCACTGAATGTTTAAGAGCGTGCCTTTTTATTTTAAACATTATATTAGCCAGGTTATATTTAGAATCAGGCACATGAAATGAAATGACTGAGTAAGGACGTTTTGAAGTACATTTTGAAACTGCTAATGAAAGAGAGAGAAAACTTTAATTACTCCAATCCATGATTTGCAAATTTACAAAGCAGTAAAAATTTTGGACAATGCTAACAGTTGACAGCAGGAAAATTGACAGGAAAATACACTGTCACTTTAATTTCCATTACTGAATAATTTTTCTCAGTAATAAATAAAATATTGCTTTCATTGGATTAGTTACTGTTTGGATTTAAAATATTAGACAAAGAATTCTGAAGTCTGGCCAGCAGAGTCATATTTCTTGATGCTCTTCACTTGTATTTTCATTGAAAAATCTGGTTGCCTTGGAAGACTTGGAGTACAGTGGTTGGTCCTGCAATTTTGCAAACTGAAATAGAGAATTTGGGACAGGGAAGAGCTCTCTTTACTCTTCCTTTTGCAAGGGAAGCATTGACTCATAGATATAGCATATTTTTCTGGGGGTTTCTCTCATTATTTGCTAAAATTAAATTAGCCATTATTTGAAAAGGGGAATGAGAAGGCAGAAATACTTTGCCAGTAGCTTAAGGAATATTACTTCTTATCTGTCTTAATCTTAAAGAAGCTAGAAAAGCAAATGAGTCACGGGATATATTTTCAGTGTGTGCTTTACTAAAGAGCAAAATCTAGGCCTGCTGGTGTGTATTGCTTGAATACCTCCTTGATTGGGTCATCTTTCTTTATTTATTTTATTTATTCCCCTTCCCCTCTACTAAAAGCCCCTCCCTTTTTCCCTGGTTTGCTTTCAGCTTTGACCAAGTCTATATGATGTTCTTCTGTGATGATAACTGAATAAACAAAGTATGATGTCATTTCTGATCAGTACAATTTGTGACAATATGACATCCTCACACAAAATGTTTATTTGCAGCCCAGGCTGTCTCAATTTGTTTTGGTGAGTTTCTCTGCAGCATACAGTACAAGTTGTTAGTTGTATCCATCTGACTGCAGTATACTATAATTGTGAATCTGCATTAATGAAACCACCATCACTTAGCTAGAGTCTTATTTGTTGTCTCCCTTTGTCTTTAAAGATAAAAGGCACAATTATTTTTTGTAGAAGTAATTTTGAATTGGCAAACTCAGTACACCATTCAAACATAACAAAACAAATTAAGAAAAGGCCTAAGCACTTTGTGTCTTCTCTTGAATTGCTCTTCAGCAGTCACAGATGTCAGTGTCACATACACATTACTTCAACAATTTGTCAGTCTGGCTAACCCTCTTGTTTTTCTGGTTTTACAGGCAAATCGTACCTGCCCGATTTGTAGAGCTGATGCTTCGGAAGTGCATCGTGATTCAGAATGACCAATCTAAGAGCACAAATCTGGTTTGGGTGTTTCTGGTCACATGTATATATGAACTCTATTGAACTTACCTACCCATGTGGCTTCCAGCCTGCCCTTTACACAAAAGGGGCAATGGACCTTACTTTGCACTGTGTGACTTAATCAATTATAAAGCTTATAACTAGTCTTCACAGTTACGGGATTGTTATACTAACAAGTGTGATTGGAACTCCAAAGATTTTTTTTTTAGCTTAATTTTGTGTGTGCACTAACATTCCCTGGGTTTTGTGTGATCATTCCGAGTATTGCTGCGAGATTACTGTGGATGTGATCTTCTAGCATGTGCTTTTATATAAAAGAAAAAGGAAAAAAAAGTGGTAGCTCCAAACAATATAGCAATCTACCTTATATAGAGCCTTCAGATACTGTGAGTGGGGATGAATGGTGTGAGTGTATGTTTGCTTGTGGGAAGGTGAGTGAAGTATGCTTGTGACTGGGTGTGTGTGTGTGAGAACCTATATACCAGCATGTACTGAGAACGTATGTGTGTAGTAATAATTATGCTGCAATGTATAATCTTGTGTGTTATTTAAACAGTACTAGTACTGTACACTGGTTCCTTTCCTTGTGTTTGCAGTTGCACACTGAATGCAATGGGTGCAGCAATTACAGACATTTAGTATTTTGTCCCCAGCGTACTTACAGGTGTAAAGACCTTTCTACCTACTACTAGTCAAACAGCTATTATGCTTCCCCTTCACTGGAGGCTTTAAGTGTGTACCACTAAAGAATGCATTGATTGTTCATACGTGAGTAACCTTGGGGGTTTTATCATATGTTACAAAGTCCAGATTTTTTCATATCTGATTTACAAGTTATTTTATCAATGTAGAGTTGCAATATCACATTTAGCAATATTAATGTTTTCAATTGCTAATATGAATATCAATGCTTTTCTGTTTTCCTTTTAAATTTTTCTAGCTGGGTTTCCCAGTTATGTGTTTCTTCCATGAAAGGAAGCAGAAAGTTCACTGAGGTGTCCTGGTCTTGTGGAACAGCTCTTAACTTTTGCCCACTGTACTTGCTAAGGACATCATCTTTTAGCGTATAAAGATTGCCTTTAATCACATACATTCTTCAAGGAAGTTGGTATGTAACTAAAATAACTTGTAAAAGGTTAGAATTTTGTTCCTGCAATTTAATGAATAAAATACATTTTTAGCGTTTTCTCAGAGAAGTAGAATTTCATATTTCTTTCATCCTATCACAAGAGGAGGTAGGTTTTGGTCATTACCTGCAGAATTCAGTTGCCCTGATGCTGCTTCTTTCACTTCCTTACTTCATGATGAGTGTAATAGGAAGAAGGAACTCCCTAAGTTTTTTGCAATCAAGTTTCCAGAGTGCTCCACTAGAGGAGAAATTTGGAATACTTTTCAGAACAGTGCTGTGAAATAAGAGGGGATAATGTCTATTCAAGTGCTCTGAATAATATTTTATTTAGGCCATTGAAAAAAAATGAGCTTTCTTTGTAATATTCACACTGTTAACCTGTCTGATGTGTTCTAGCATGTTTAGGTCTGCATATTCCACAGTTATTAAAAGGATGCACTTTTTGCAATGAAACTCTTGTCATAAATTCAGTGTCATTACTTTGGTTGCAGCAGCACAAGTGGCACAATTATCAGTATTGCTACAACTTGCTGCCAGTTTCAGCTTTAAGTTTTTTCTTTATCTTCTGATGCTTGTGTATGCTGCTATGCTTTAGTATCAGTTAAATTTTCAAACAGTGTTAGATGTTCTCCATGATGGTTTTCCTCTTTGAAGATTTAACAGACCAGTTACAGCTCTTGGTGCAGCTAAATAAAAGCACAATTTTTCCCTGTTTCAGATGTTTTTCCACTGTTTCGTTATGCAGGTAGTCCTCAAAAACAGTGAAGCTCTCCATACCTTACTTAGGAACACTAAATAAATAGAAATGCTGTTACTTCCAGTCAAAATATTAGAATTTCTTTTTCCTCTCTTCCAGTGGATTTAAAGAATAGACTTTTCACAATAGCACCTAGCAGGTTAAATTACATGTAATAAAATTTATTTTTTTAACAAATAAAATCATGTTTAAAAAGCATATGTCGCATATGTCTTACAAAACTTAGCCTCTTTTATATAACTGCAAAAGAAAAAAATCCATGTACAGATTTAAACATGACTAATGTTTCTCTGTTTAGTATTCAGTTCAAAGCATGGAAAGAGGGTACTTTTTCTAAACTTGATACAAGTGAACAAGACACGTACTTCTGAAGCTGAGGGAAAGTAGTTCTCTTTCTGGAACTGGAGAAATGTCCCTTTTCCCCCACTAAAATTCAGTGAGACAATGGAAGATCTAGGAGATGGAGGGTCTAAGTTGATAAAATCCTGCAATTAATTGTTGCACTCTTATGGCTCATCTCTTCTGGAATGGTTCTTTGGTTTGCATGGATGAATGTGGACTTGCTTCCCGTGGTTAGTGTGTACAAGAGCACACATGCTTATGTTTTAAATCAGCTCAGACAGGCTACAACCACATCCTCTGTGGTGGCTGTCAAGGGCAGGGGATTTCTGTTCAGCTCTTAACTGCCATGTATTATGCACAGCTGCCGTGGTGCCTGACAGCACCTGAATTCAGCAACACTTCTTTTATGTTCGTTGCCTTTCTGCAATCCAATGACTCTTTTTTCTCAAAAAAAAACCCAACAACAAAAAAAAAAAAAAAAAAAAAAAAAAAAAAAAAAAAAAAAAAAAAAAAAAAAAAAAAAAAAAAAAAAAAACCGAAAAAAAACAAACAAAAAAAATTAAAAAAACAAAACAAAAACAAACAAACAAACAAAAAAAAAAACACAACAACCAAACAAAAATATCCAACCTCCAATATGTTTGCTTTACCATATTGGCACTGCTGTGTTTTTTGCATAAACTGTCAATTTAATTTGACATTTTGGTGGATATCAAGGCCTACAGATAATTCTAGTGTCTGATTTTTTGGCTTTCTTTAGAAAAAGTGAGGCCATGTGTTGTACATCACTTTGTACAGGCTCTTGAATGTGACTTCACAGCTCTTAATACAATGGATTATACTTGGGATGAGATTTACCAACTGTTTTAATTTTAATTGTAGAAAACAGTTTCAACTGAGTTATCTTTGGGCCTTTGTAAAAGCTGTGGTTTTTTCCTTTGGTACATTGTTACCTCATTTTGCTACTTGTGTTTCAGACTTGCTAATTATTATGAAAGCTTATGGTTTTTGTTGGAATCATATTTTGTTAAGTGTTTTCTTTAAATCATATGCTATTGTATCATTTAACATGTAGTTTTAAATGTATTATAAATATCTGTAACCAAATCATTTGAAGGCTTGATAAATTTTTAACAAAATTTGTACATTTTTTATGAGAGTTACTAGTAATGCTTTACTAGGTAGTGCAATGAATTTTTATTTTTAATCCCTGTGCCCAATTTTGGAGTTGAGAGAGTTGTTCAGTAATAAATGTATGATGTACACTTATACAAATTTGTCCCGTTCTTTCTCTGAAGAGTGTATTGTTTTCTTTTATTACTGGCCATATTTCTGTGCATGATTCAGTAAAATTGAAATATTGCTGGCAACAGCCACTTATGTTATAGGGGGGCATTTTGCCACCTTAACTGTAGTGCACTTTTTCTCTATTGTTATGTTGAGAGAGCCTAAGAAGCTGATCTGAAATGCTGTACCATATTTTTGAGAGTGTGAGAATTCAATGTACTCAAAGCCTTGCCTAAAGGTCAGTGTTCTAAAGACCTTATTTACTTAGCCAGAAGAAAATTTGCAGGCATGAAGGTGCTGCTTAGGCATAAACACTGCTTATTTGCAGTGTGTATCAGCTTATATATGTTACACTTCTGCAGTGCTGTAAGTGATGCATCCTGAATTATAATGGTTTCATTAGCCAGGGTCACACAAGAAATGGTAATGAAACAAAAAAAAGAAAGAAAAAAAGTTGTATGATTTTGGTTTTAAGGTAATGTAAACTAAGTTGACAGATGTAGTTACTTAAGAGGTTTTCATTTACATAAGACATTTAATAGCTGCATCAATAGCAGGTGTTCTTAGTACCCAGACATATTTGAAAATTCATTTGTGATTTTGAGAATCCTTATGTAGGTTCACAGACATACCTTTTGGATTTGGAGACATTGGAAAAGAGAAAGGTATCTATCTGTAGCTTGGATACTTGAAAAGCCACATTTTTTGTACACAAGTATATTGAAGAGCAGCTTCCTGGATCATCAGTAGTTTGGCCATGACCAGTCCTAGGCTGAAGAGCAGAATTGCTCTCTTCCTCTTTCCTGATCTGCTCTCCACTCCCCACCTTTGTGTCACAGCATCTCACTCTCTTTCTCAGCCTGTGCAGTGTCTGTCTTTGCTGACAAGCCTGTCTCATCACTGCTTGTGATTCTCCTGGTATTCTCAATAATTAGATGAAAATTTCTGTTGCTAGCTTCTAGTAAATCATACCACTGCCCCCAGGTACTGCATCCTGTATACTCTTTAGGGATTCTGTTTTCTGTCTTGCTTTCAACTACTGCCTACAGCTCTAGTTTCTCTATCTTGTGTGTCTTCTGTAACCCTCCATCTCCCACGGCTCACACTGTAATGCACACAACTGTCTGACTTTCAGATGTGGTTATTTCCTTGCAACTGATTGTTGATTTGCATGCCCACAGTGCTTATCAACTGATTCATGAATGACAGCTTAGGAACAGATGGAGTTCCTAATTTCTTATTTAGTCTTACATGTGCAATAGACGGGCTTGGCTTTTCAGGAGCAGTGGCACTGCTGGAGCTTTTGTCCAATTCTAGCCTTTGCTAACCTTGGTAGGTGTAAATGTACTTACTTAACATTGATAAGGAACTTCCCTTCTCAATGATTCTTTGAGGAACTTCCATAGCTTCCATATCAACTGCCCTTGTCCTTATGGGGGACTTCAACTTGCCAGAAATCAGATAGGAACTGTCATACCGCTGGTACAGCCCAGGTCGTAACATTCTTAAAAACCTTGGTGACAGCTTTACAGAAGTGAAGGGAGCCAGCTGGGAAAGATCCCCTCCTTGACCTGCATGCCAACAGAGAGGATCTTGTGAGTGGAGATTGGCATTCATCTTGGCCACAGTGACCATGATGTTGATGGGAGGGAAAATTTGTGTTGTTAAGAGGGGAAATCCCAGCAAAACCTCACCTCTGGACATGAGGAGAACACACTGCTCACAGAACTAGTAAATAAAATCATCTGGGAAAATATTCGGACAGGTGCTAGTGTCCATCAGTTCTGGTCACTTTTAAACATCACCTTCTAGGGGCACAGTAACAGGCAATTTCTAAAAGTCAGGCAGAAGAGGCAGGAGGCCAGCTTGGGTCAGCAGGAATCTTCTCTGGGAAACAAAGCCAAAAGTATAGGCCCAATGGAAATAAGGTCAGGTAACATGGGGAGAATGCAGAGATGCTGCTTCCCACTGTAGTGAGAAAATTTATGCAGCCAGAGCTCAGCTGGAGTGGAAGCTGTCCAGAACCAGGGACAATAAAAGCAGTCTTTTCAAATATATTAACAGCAAAAGGCAGTGTAAATATAACATCAGCTATCCTGTTACAGGATGCAAACAGGGACAGGGGCAAGGCAGAGGTGTTTAATGCATTCTTTGCCTCTGTCTTCAACATGGATCCAGGGGAGTGTCAGTGCCCTGTGCTGGAAGACCATGGCTGTGAAAAAGAACAATTTCCTGTTGACCCTAAACTTGTGCAGGATCTTCTGCTCCAGCTGGGTCCCTGCAAATCTATGGGGTCTGATGGGGTTCATCCAGGAATCCTCAAAGAGCTGGCTGAAGTCATCACAAAGCCTCTCACCATGGTTTTTGAGCAGTCTTGGGAATCTGGAGAAGTTCCAGCTGGCTGGAAGCTGGTGGATGTTATCCCAATTTTCAAGAAGGAAAAGAAGATGCCAAAATCTACAATGAAGTCTCACTTCACTGCCCGATGAAATCGTGGAAAAGATTATTCTGGGAATTCTGAAGAACACTTGGAGAGCAACCCAGTTAGTCACATGTCTTCCTGAGGGGAAAGTCCTGCTTGTCCAACTCGATTTCCTTCTACAGCAACATAACCCACCTAGCTGACCAAGGGAAGCCAGATGATGTAATCTTTTTGGATTTCAGTAAAGCTTTCCATACTGTCTCTGTCAGTATCTTTCTGGACAAAACATCCGGCACATACCAGGTTAAACACATGATGGGATGGGTGAGCAACTGGCTCACAGATCAGGCACAAAGGGTTACAGCGAATGGGTGACATCAGACTGGTGACCTGTCACTGGTGGGGTTCTACAGGGCTCCAACCTCAGCCCTGTGCTCTTCAGCATCTTCATCAATTACTTGGACACAGGACTGGAAGGGATACATAGCAAGTTTGCCAACAACTGTAAATTGGGAGAAGCTGTCTAGTCCCTCAGAGGCCTTATAGAGAATCCTGGACAAAGGAGATTGCTGGACAGGCATCAGCTGTATGAAGTTCAGTGAGAGAAAGTGCCAGATTCTGTGCCTGGGCCATGGCAACCCTGAGTGTGTGTATAGACGGGAATGCGAGACTGGAGTGCAGCTCCATGGAAAATGATCTGGGGGTCTTGGTCAATGACAATTTGAACCTGAGCCAGCAGTGCCCTGGCAGCAGGAGAGCCAACCCTGTCCTGGATGCATCAGGCACATCATCACAGCCAGGCAAGGGAAGGGACTGTCTTGCTCTGCTCTGAGCTGGGGCAGCCTCACCTCGAGTGCTGTGGGCAGGTGTGGATGACACAGAATAAAAAAAGACATTAAGCTTTTGGAGAATGTCACAGGAGGCCAGTGAAGATGGTGAAGGGTCAGGAGGGGAAGCTGTTTGAGGAACAGCTGGAGATCACTTTTCTGTTCAGCCTAGAGGAGACAGGGGAGAACTCATTGCTGTTTTTCAATATCCTCACAAGATCTCTTGACTCTTGTGACCAGTGACAGGACCTGAGAAAACGGCATGAAACTGAGTCAGGGGAGGTTAAGGTTGGATTATCAGAAAAGGATCTTCACCCAGAGGGTGGTTGGGCACTGGAACAGGCTCCCCAGGGAAGTGGTCACAGCACCAAGCCTAACAAGAGTTCAAGAAAGGTTTGGACAATGCTCTCAGGCACATAGTGTGATTCTTCGGAATGGTGCTGTGCAGGGCCAGGAGTTGGACAGAATGATCCTGATGGGTCTCTTCCAACTGAGCTTATTCTATGAGTCTGTATATTGCTGCAACCACAAAACTCTCTGCTTTTCAAAACATGCAAATAGAAAGTGAGCCATCAGTTCTGAAATGCATATTTTGCCTAGCACAGTCTCACATGCTGGCTTTTGCATTGGATTGCACTGTGTCACTTAACACATCGATGTGTCTTAAAGTGCAGTTTCCAGTTGTGAAGGAACTGAAGTACCATCAGACTTCTGGTACCTAGAACAAAATTTAGCAAATCTTCATTTTGAAATGGATGTATTGGCGAGGCTCATCCTGGCACCACTAGAAGAGTCTAAAGTTAACAGTTGTGCAGATGCCCAAGCTAGTCCTCCATGATTAATGTCCTGGGAGATACCCCCCCAAGTTCCTGTCTCACTGTTTCTTCCTATAGACTTGTGCATGTAGGAGAATCATTTTC